ACACTAAATGAAGCCACATCAATTTTCAGAAATCTACTTTTTTTTCAGCCTAAACTGATCTGTGCATACACATATAGTCAACTCACAGCTAAAATAATCTCTAACTCAGTTACAGCTTGTTGTGTGACTTTAATATGTAGGATATAGCCAGACTCTCTTAGGGGATTCGAATGGTGGAGGAATGAATTTAAACATAACTTTTCTTTGTGTCATCCTCTGTCTCCAAAAGGAAGATGCCTCAAGGTCATCATTCATTCATTCGACAACATTTTTTTCAGTGCTTAGTATGTGCTAGGTGATGTTTTAAGTTCTGAGGTTACAGTTGTGGACAAAACAAACACAATCTGCATGGGTGCATGTACACTCAAAGTATGGGTGAGACATTTTTTTTAAATAATATTTTTGGATGTTATAAATTCTATGAAAAAATATCAAACAGGATTAAGAAATTGGGGGATTAGGGTGTGTGGATAGGGGAGCTATTATATTAGATAAAATGGTCAGAGAATTTTCTTGGAGCAGATCTAAAAGAGAAGTGAGAAAGCAAGTAATGGCGATGTCTGGGGATATTCCAGACAGAGGGAAGAGCAAGTGCAAAGGCCCTGGGAAGGGCTTGCATTGTTTGAGCAGCAACATGGATGCATCGAGTAGTGAGTGAGGAGAGTGACAGCCATGAGTCCCCAGGAAGCCAGGGGCCAGGTCACTTGCGAATGAATAAATTCCTCATTCACTCTGAATAAGATGTGAAGCCATTAGGATGGTGAGTAGAGGGGAGTCATGACCTAATTTGATTTTGGAAAGGATCCCTCTGAGTGCTGTGCAAAGAGGAGATTATCACAGGGTGGAAGCCAGAAGAACATTTTGGGGAGGATGGTGAGGGGTGACGATGTCTTTAACTGAGGATGAGATGGTTGAGATAGTGACAGGTGGGGAGGTTTGGAATGTATTTTAAAAGCATAGCCAAGAGGAAGGTAACCCAAGAGCTCAGTTTTGAATGTGTTGAAGTTGAGAAAGAAGTCCAAGGACTAAGCCCTGAGACATTTAAAGAGATGAGAACAAAAAGCAAAGAAGAAAAAAGCAACGATGAGAGGAGGAAAAGAACACAGAGAGAGGTGGCCCAGAAGCCCTGTTTCAGGAAGAATTGCCAGGCAGCCCTGGGGACCCCATTGAGGTTTATGCTCATGAACTTCAAGTGAGACTTACTTCAAACTGGTTGGAGAAAAACTCCAGCCATATTTAGCTACAGTGATGTGCACATGAAGAGATGGAGGGTTGAATTTAACCAAGATCAGATTTTCCCAGGAGACTCTCATTTGGGACGGGAGGGAAGGGAGTATAAAACAGGAAGTGGTTATAAGGATGGACCATGGGCTCTGCACTTTATAAGAAGAAAAGGGAAGACATGGTAGGCCAGTGAATTGAGGAATCAAAGTTATTAAACTGTTAATATCATTCCTTCAGGATCTTATATGATAATGTAGTTCAAAGTATCATTAATGATCATTAATGGGTTCTGAGCCTGTGTGGAAAGGCTAGGTATTAAGGAGTGGTAAATTAACAAAAACTGAAAAATAATACAGCAGTCTAATAGTTGTATTTGAAATGCCTTGCATTTATGTAATACTCTCATGTTTTCTAAATCACATCCAAAGATCTTTTTCTCATTTTATAGTCTCAGATATATCGTGGGCAGAGAAGACAGCTTTACCAAAGTCTCAGAAGAGTCTTAGAAGTCTTAAAAGAGTAAAGTAATTATATTAGCCCATTTTCTAGATTATAAAGCATTTTAATGTTTATAAAACATTTTAAATATCCACTTATCTTCTGAAATAAGTTTATAATATTGTGTGTTTAGCTGAGTATGGTTTCTTATATAGTTATTTAATTTTTCCTATCAAAATTAAAATATTGATTTTCAAACAAGACTCACAAATAAAGAGTTAATGTCATCAAATTAACTTGTTGTTTTCCAAGAGAATTTAGTAAACTGTAATAACATATATCAAATTCAAATAATAGTAGCAACAGTGTTACATTTGGCATGTCAATGGAGATTCATGAAATGGATCTTAAAGTGTTGAACTTGATATTGCATAGATACATTTTATTTTCCTGGATAAAGCTTTGTCAAAGGCAGCTAAGCATGTAGCTCTGGCCCTTCAGTAGATCCTACAGTATCCCTTAAATGCCCACAAAGGAATCCTACTAAGAAAATTCTTCATCCTTATTCTCTACATGTCCCCAACTCCAAGCCTTTGTGCCCTCTTCACTCTATTCCTTTCACCAGGAATGCTCATTCCCTCCTATTTTCTAAAAAAATAAACTCTATCTTCTCTAATGGGAAATTCAGAGTGCAAGTCCTGCTGGACATTTTTCCTAATTCCCCTTAAATTAAATGAATTTCTTCTTCTGCTTAGATTGCGTGTGTCACTGTTTTGTTTTTTAGATATCTGAATGCATGTCTGTCCTACATACTAAATAAGCTTCTGGACAAAAAGCTCCTTTGTAGTTCTAAAAATCTTCTAGAATGAGTTTTTACACACAAAAGATCCTTCTGAGAAAATCTAGATTAATTAAATTAGGGCCACAGAGGGCCAGCCTAGGCTGGGAAACCTAAAGAAGGACAACCATTAAGGGGTCTCTCCCAGAGGGAGAACCTGAGGACAGGGCTATTGTCACTCGCTTCTCAGGAATTCCAGGCAGCCCTGAAGAAGTTCTTGGGAAGCAATTAGGTTCTAAAACTGGGATTTCTACCCTGTAACCACTGCTCCCAGGAGACCCTAGGCCAGAAAAATTCTCTCTGTTTCAAATTCTCAACCAAGGAAGATTCTAGAAGCCTTTCTGATTTCACTCAGAAAGTGAAATATTGGAATTCCAGGCAGCCCTGAAGAAGTTCTTGGGAAGCAATTAGGTTCTAAAACTGGGATTTCCACCCTGTAACCACTGCTCCCAGGAGACCCTAGGCCAGAAAAATTCTCTCTGTTTCAAACTCTCAACCAAGGAAGATTCTAGAAGCCTTTCTGATTTCCTCTGGAGTCAGAAATGTCCATATAAACAAGGTGTAGCATCTTGGGGCAGTATCATGGATTGGGGTGAAATGCTTATTGTTTTCCTGGGGAATTTACTTGACTAAACTATAACTCTATTATTATTGGTGGTGTTATTAACTTGGCATACCTTAACTACTAAATTTATTTGAGTATTTTCTTACTCTGTCTCCTACGTTAGAGTCATATGGCCTTTTCTCCCAGTATTCTCCTTCCCTCTTCGGCTTCTCCCTGTCCCCATCCCCACCCTTCACACATATGGCAGTCGTACAACTGACCTCAAATTAAGGAAGTGGCTTGGCCTCAGGATCCTCCCCTTCTTGCCTTTCTTTTAAGCAACTGGGATCCCCAAATTGCTGACACTATTCCTGGGCATCTTCTACTCTTCACCATTTCCAGTGTCCTCCTCTGCTCCTAGCCAAACTTGATTTCATTCCATCAGGACCTTGACCTCAGTTCTCCATTTTAGTAACTAATTCTCTAATAAATTAATCCGCACTGTTCTTATGAGTAGTAGCATATTAATTTTAAAGTGTGCTTTTAAGCTTAGTCACTCCTCCTTATTCTTCCTTAATTGATAACACTTATTCATTTTTTTACTCTGGTCATCAAAACACAATATTCCCCAAATTTTATCTAGTTCAAAATAGCAGCTTAGCACCTAGCCTAGTTCCTGGCACATAGTAGACCAACTGAATAAAATATTAATATTTATTGAGTGAGTGAATGAATGCATGGGTTCAAATCGTAACTGTGCTTAGCTTCCCAGTGGAATGAAATAAAAGCTAGATATTAATGAGAGAAGTATTTTTAGACAAGCAGTTTGCAGTATCACGGCTCAGCTTCCTTATAAATGTCCATAATGCCTATCCCCATATTTCAAGAAGACAAAATGGATTTTTCTGTCTAGTTACCCCTCATGCCTATTTTTTCTATTTGATTTGGAAATTATTTCTATTAATACCAATGGATGCTTTGTATTTAACATTCCTTTTAAAAAGATTGAATTGGATTAACAACTTCTTACTTTGGTTAAAGTGCAAGAAAGAGGAAATCAACTCAACCTCCACCCTTCCCAACTACTTTCATCTTCTTTTCTTCATCTCCCTGTCTAGTTCTTAACCACCATCACTCATAAGCCTCAGAGGCACCACTAATATTAATATTTTAAGACAGTCCAAGGGAAAAAAAATCTGACGTTACAGTTAGGTTAGCTGCCTAACCCTTGTTTTGTAACAGACTGTACTTGAAAACTTAAATGAAAAGCAAATTATAAGAGCATTTTTTTCATACAAATACCCTCCCTGGTTTTTAAATTTTTCTCTCACATGTAAACATGCAGATTTAGCCTGAAGAAAGGCTTAAGAAAGCCATCTTCTCCTCTTGTCACTGGGGACAAATGAAAAGAACTGTTTAGTTGTCTAGATCTCTGTTGAATTTGCCATGATTTCTATGAAACCCTGATTGAGTTACTGTCTAGACATGAATGATACTGAGCCAGAGGAGCCATGGCGGTGGCAGACTCAGACCCTCAATGCTCACATACCTCTCTCCCTCCTTTTTAAGCCTGCAAATGTGAGTAGAAAGTGGGGGAAATAATGCAAAGACACTAAAGTTCTCCATGTGCAAAAAGTACATTTTTGCATCAATGGAAACTGAGGCTTCTCAAATTTTAAAAGGTGTACACCTGCAAATGCTTCTGTTCATCTTGTCTGCCAAGAATTAACAATCTTCAGTCATGTTCTGAATGTCCGACCTTTCTATCCTGCTTGAAACAGATGCTACTTCCATGCCAATCACAACCACCTGTTGTCACCATGTGTCATGCTGAATCATATGTATGTAATGCCATTCCACCATCTTTTCTCCATCCCTCATTTTATCCAAGCATGTAGCGTGCTATTACTCTGCTACTGTATACACTCTGTATACATTTCTGTTCTTCCTTGCAAGACTGTGAATGCTTCGGCCACTCCAATCGATGCAGTTATATCGATCTGCTAAATACAGTCATTTGCGTGAGCTGTAAACACAACACTAGAGGGCAGCACTGTGAGTTATGCAGGCTGGGCTACTTCAGAAATGCTTCTGCACAGCTGGACGATGAGAATGTGTGCATAGGTCAGTTCCATTATAATTTCAGCTATTGTTCTGTGCCTTGTGAGCTATGGGGAGCTATTTAGGGTGGAGAGGCTGGTGATTTGCACCACCACTGAGCCAGAATGAACTTTCGCAATGGAGCAAATATTCTTGTGGTAGACTTAAAATTCACCTTGTACTGGTTGAAATCATAGTTGGGGGATTTAATTTGAATCTTTACGTCGTTGTTGCTTTAATGATGATGATCTGAGATATTGTGTTTAGGAGATGAAGAATTCTCTTTCTTCCATTTTTTTTTTTGCATGAAATTTTAAAACCTGATAATTTCAAACTGATCTTACAGCCTTAAATTATACATTCACCTTTTAAAATGGAAACTCATTATACGGGATTTAATTACAGATATGAAAAATTGGGGTACAAACTCTTGCACACAATTGGTGACCAACAAGTATTGAAGGATTAAAAATGTTGCCATTTGGGATTGAAAGCAACTAGCAACTGGTAATGTAGAAGTTTGCCTGACTTTTCCATCCATGGTAATGAAATTCCATTTATTGAATTTTCCTATACCCCCCAAAAGGAGGACAAATTTCTTAAAATTTTTCTAGGCAGTTAATTCTCTTAGCTTCCAAGGTGCATTAGCCCTAAGCCCACAGGGATTCCTTATGCCCCCTCCCTTGTCACACTGCCAATGACTGCTGCCCCTGTCATCTGGGAGAACCAGGTGCCTTTCTCACCCAGAAAAGCTTCTCCTACGTTTTGTATAGTAGAGCCTGTTTTTAAAAGTGGGAGACCAGTGGAAAAATAAGAAAAAAAATAAATGGAATTTCATTTCATAATTTACTCTGAAGAAATGCCTATATTTGAAATGCTGAATGATATGTGTATGTCTGTTACCACAATAGTAGTTAGCTATATAGGCACCCAATTTTAAAGGTAGAATTTTCACATAGAGACTGAATTCAATAGATTAGATAAGATGAAAAATGACAGGTGTTCTTTTTATCAAAAAAAAAAAATAACAGAAAGAAAGAAATCCAATCAATCTGTATTTCTGGGATTATTATTTCCTGATTGGATTGTCAAGATCCAAGTACCACATAAAATAGATGTATTTTTAATTAAATTGGGACAAGTATATATAATACTGTCTACGTCTGCAGTATTTTCTATTTTTTTTTAAAGTACCTCCTTATGTATTATTTGTGAATAAGTGGAGAAAGTTCTGGACTTAGAGGCCAGAGAGCTGAGTTCAAATCCCAGTTTGCTATTTAATAGCTCTGTGCCCTTCCTAAGTCATTTGAGCCTCCTAGTCCAATCAGGATCATTAACACAACAGTGGGGTAAGTATTAACACTAATAATTTTCCCTATCCTCTCGTTGAGAAAAGTAGGCAAATTAGCTCAAATCACACGGCGTTAGCAAAGAGTTTCCTGACTTCAAAGCTTAAACACTTTTTCTCAACCACTCTGACACAATTAGCAAAGCTAAGCTTGTCAGACTTTTACTTATGGTATGCTTTCTAGATGACAGCAGCAACTCCACTATGAGCATGTGAACAGAAGTTCAATTGCCTTCATAACACTTGGGTTATGAAGATTTGAGGATATTAATAAAAACAAAAAGATGCATAACTAAATTTTGAATGCAGAGTATATTTCACTGAATGCCAGTTGTAAAAATATATAACTGTCACACTATAAATATAGAAACAACAGAAAAGGTAAAATAAATAGGAATAAAATCCAATTATTTTTACAAAATACATAAGATTAAAATGTTTTAAAATATTAAATATTATTTTAAATAAATGCATAAGAGACCTTAAAAGATTTGATGCCATAAAATTTCTCATGGCAGGTAACATAACAATATCCCAATATGTTTTACTCAGAGTATTCTGTTTTTATGAAGTCTGGCCTTTTTCCAGTCCCAAAGCAAACTATGAACTACAAATCCGCATCTTTCTATCCAATTTTAAGAGGTGTAGTTCTGTTGTAAATCTGTGTTTGACTAACCAACACCCTAGAAAATACCTTATTCAGCTTGTTTTTTAAATCACACAATTACAGAAGAAATATGGAAAGCTTAATATCCATTTTTACATTTATTTTTACTTTTAAAAAAATCAAGAATTGTTTTTTACTCCATTTCTAGAAAGTTTATTAATTAAAATTATAGACCTTTAGAAAATTTTCTTTCACTGAGGCAAACATGTTTATATTTATACTCTTCAAACCAAGTAAAGTACTCGGCACGCACAAAGATGAGCATTTCAGGTACCATTAAAATTAACTACATATCACCCCCACTCCCCACATAACAAAATTCCTTATATTATTGCTCTTTTCCTAAAGGGGAAAATTATTTTTAAAGAATGAGCTGAAAAATTTGGCTAGCCCATATGTGCTAAGGTCTATCTTTTATCTTCAGTCTTTATATGCATACAATAAATCAATAATAATTTCCTAAAAAAGCTGTCGAGTGCACTGTTCCCACTTGAGGGGCCAAGGGCAGGGATATTGAGGCTGCCTGTGCACAAGGCTGAAGATGGCTTTTGTCCTCCCAGGGCCTTGGCAGCCTGTGGCTCCATTGTCCAGGCTTGCGCTATGACACAGCAGGAGCCTATTCACTATTTTCCACATTTAAGCTTCCCTAAAGGGCTTGAGGCAGGGCTGCTAGTATTACATTTGAGAGGACATGCCACAAATAATTGAGAATTAATTTTAATACCATTTTGTATAGAAAGCATTACTGAAAATGAATGAAATGAATGGATATTTACTCAATTTAATTTCACAGAATAAGGCACTAACCTTGGAAACTTTGAACTTCATCTAAGTCTTCTCTAAATTAAAAAGAGGCACTTTGCCAATTCTATAACAATTGGCAATAAAATTTACCACGCTGGCTGTGAAGGACTAGATCATATCTTTGACGAAATATAGGTTCTGCATTGAAATAGATGTTGGGAAATATTTGCATCATTTTATATTGTGGCAAATATAAAATGCAGCTGGCTATTCCATGTTGCCACAGTGATTGCTACTTTGTGATTACTCATGAATTTATCCATTTTTCATGTAAATTTCACACACAGCCATGTCTCCGAAGATGCATGTAATTACCCTGTGATGATGCAGCAATTACATGAAGATGACATCCTTGCATGCTTCTGTTTCATATAAACTTGAGCAGTAAGCAGGAAGCTTAGAGGATATGTGGTTCGTGACCTTGGGTAATCACTGTTAATAATCCTGCTAACAACCTTTGCATCAGAATGAAACACAAGGTTCAGCAGTTGCTGCTAAACATATCTCAAAGTTATGATGTATTATTTTTAATTCCCCTTGAAACCTAGGATCAGATCATCAGAGGTGCCTTAAATAGAAAAAAGCAAAGACAACGCATTTTTAAGACCTATAAATCAATTGTAGTATAATTTTCTAATCAAGCTTCCAAAAGTATTTCATGTTGTTCTGTAATCTAAGAGTTCTGCATATTCTTCCTAGTTTTATGGAAGAAAATGGGATCCTCCAAGGCCATTTCCATTACTCCCAACATCCACCATTGACCATATGTTCCATAAATGATGTTTTTCAAAAACCAAATTATTTGTGATATAAGGTTAGAGGAAAGCCACACCTCTCCCTGTCCTTTATCTTTAGGACTGTTTTAGTAACATTACACTTATCACCATATCCTATAACAACCACTGGGTTAGATGTTCTGGGTTTTGTTTTTTTTTCCTATTTTGCATCTAAAACTTTATATTAATTAATTGTTATGGGCCAATTGACTAAAGTCATAGGTGAACTCATGTTGACCAGATGTAATTGTGCTCCCGAGCTTACAAAATATTAGTTACTCACTGTCCACTTATACACTTTAAACAGTAAAAAACCATACGATAGTTTTGATATGGGTACAAACTTATATAGTATATGTATGTACCGACAAACATTGAAAGCTATAACAAGCAAACATTAAAAGCTATAACAAAATGACTATTTTTAAATATTCTGGGCCAGGTGCAGTGGCTCATGCCTATAATCCTAACACTTTGGAAGGCTGAGGTGGGAGGATCACTGGAGCTCGGGAGTTCAAGACCAACCTGAGCAAGAGTGTGACCCCATCTCTACAAAAAATAGAAAAAATTAGCTGGCATGCACCTATAGTCCCGGCTACTCAGGAGACTGAGGTGGGAGGATCGCTGGAACCCAGGAGTTTGAGGTTGCAGTGAGCTATGATGAGGCTACTGCCCTCTAGCCTGGGTGACACAGTAATACTCTGTCTCAAGAGATTAAAAAATAATTAAAAGTAAAATATTCTTGAAACAGTTTTCACACACACACTAAAATAAAAAATATGTCAATTTAAAATAAAACCCTTATTATTAAATACAAACCAAGCTAGGCAAGGAAGAAGCATTTTAGAGTTTTTTAAGTTTTATTTTTACCTGCATATCTCATTATTAGTCTTATAAATGTTTGTTTTATAAGAATGCTGAACTCAAAACCTGACTTAATTAACATGAAATAAATCATAATTCTAAGACATTCCACATTCTTTGAAGACACTATCTAGTTAGTCTCTACAATACAAAGTCAGAGTCTAACTCCTGGATCCCTCTATAATGCTAAACCCTGAAACCCCATTACGAATCTAAGATGCTAAACATGATTATATTAAACCAAATTCTCAGTATTTCGCTTGGTTGGTTTGTTGGTGTGATTTTGCTTGTTTTTTTAGCAACAGAACCTCTTACTGGCTCCATTTTACAATAAAAGAAACTGAGAGACAGAGAGGCATAATAACTTGCCCAAGATTGCACAGTGGGGTAAGGAGAAATGGGCTTTTCCCCACAAAATCCAAAAGCTACAAACTACCTGTTCTACTTTGTAAGCTGATGGAAGCCTAAGAATTCCCATTTCTGGTTCAAGTTTTAAGCACAATAGAGCTTCATAAGTAAAAACATCCTCAATAAGAATGTGTAAAGAATCAAGAAAATATTCTATTTCCTGTTCATTACACAAATTTGTATTCTCTTGCCAGAAGACATTATAATGGAAATTACACATCTCAAATTATACCTATGTTGAAATTTCTCAGGGATTACAAAATTTATTTTTCTTTCATGATTGTTAATCTAGGCTGGATAAAAGCTGTACTAACATGCCTGGCAAATACAACATCTAAAGGCTCATCACAAAACAGTATGTACATAAATAAGTTAAGGTGCTGTCCCAAATCATAAAGTGAAACTACCTTTGAACGAGCAAAGTGCATTCATACTGCACTTTTAAAATGTTCAGCAGTTCTCAAATACTGAGTGTAACGGCTAAGGCCATTTGAATAATTTAAAACAGATTTTACACTGATGGCATATTGATTTATCCTTGATATACAAACTTCTCATGGTATTCATTAAACCATCTAAAACTGCCCTAACAAATGGGATCTACATTATGATCTATTATCAGTGAAAGGCATGGTGTCTTATTTCCTTGGAAGTTTTCGGTTGATTTCCTCCCAGAACATAAAAATGATATCATGGAAGGCCGAGCAAATAAATAAATGGTCCTGAAATAGCCATATTTGCCGAAGCATTTCATTAGTGGACATCTTTCTTTAAGTAAGTGATGCATTTAAGTGACGCTCCTGTGTTGATAACCTATAAGCCATGCGGACTTGTCTCCAGCCTGTGTGTTGTCTTGTTTCTACAGAGTGTTATTGTAACCCTTTGGGCTCAATCCATGATCGTTGTAATGGCTCAGGATTTTGTGAGTGTAAGACTGGAACGACAGGGCCTAAGTGTGATGAGTGTCTGCCGGGAAATTCCTGGCACTACGGCTGTCAACGTAAGTAACTCTGGGAGCTGCCCTCTGCCTGCTGTAGCATGGCCGATTCTGCTTGTCTTGGCTGGTGCGTGCAGCCTCTCAGAGCAGAAAAAGACCCAAACTGCTGACAATCTTTAAAAGCTACTTAATGCCCCGAGCTGTGTATGGGAGAGCAATCCATCAGCTGTCCAGCCGACTTCCTCAAAGCCCATCTCCATCCCCTCTGATAGCTGGAGCGACTTATATTGAAATATTGCATGGAGGTCCATGTACCTGGCCAGATCATAAATTAACTGGCACAATAGGGACCCCGCTTGGAAACCCTCACCGCAGAACGAAGGGTGATGTGTATGTGGTTAATATATTTCTTGCACTGAAAGCTACCCTGGAGCTCCAGAGTTCATAAATTAAATGATATCTACATAACTCATTACCACCCTTGCTATCATACCCATCACTGAATCTTAACCAAAAACCTAAAGGTAATAAATCTAAGGGATATTTAAATGCCGGGGTGAAACAAATGACAAAAATCAATATTGATTTTAAGCCTCTAAGGTTAGGCACCATGCAAGGAGCCTTAGACAAATGCCATTTGGTTCAGCCTCATTTCTCTGGAGATTATCAGGTTTTGTTCAAAGCTCGGCAAGACAGGTGGCATGTCAGTGTCTACAGGGAACATACATTTTCAAAATCAGGGCAGAAGCTGCCTTCTGTCACTCATGACCTTTTCTGCCTTTAAATTCTGCAACATCCACACATAGTTAGCTTACTAATGTTAAAGAATCACACGGCATATCTATCCTCTGTAGCAGCACAATCCAGTAGAAAATAATACAATCCACATATGTGATTGTAGGTGTTTTGTTACTCACATTAAAAATGTAAAAAGAAATAGAAAAAAATGGATTTTAACAATCTACTTTATATAACCCAGAATACACAAAATATTATCATTTCAACATATAATTAATAACAAAATTATTGAGGAGACATTTTCCATTTTCTCATGCTCTATTTGAAGTCAGATGTGTGTTTTGTGCTTACAGAACATCTCAATTAGGGCTGGCCATATTGCAGGGCTTAATAGTCACATGTGTCTACCATATTGAACAGCACAGCCTGAGAGCTTTTTTGCTTGCTTTTCACTTGAAAAAAAAAGTCAGCCTGCAGGGACATCTAAAGCCAATTACTACAGAAAACTATATATTATTTCTACACTATAATAATAATAAGATTTCTATATTCTATGCAATAAACTATACAAGATAAATGCTACAAAAACTAGATCCAATTTCTACATAAAATTCTATGGAAAATGATAGAATGTTCTATCTGCTACTTATGAAATATATAGTTCTCTGGTAGCTACACTTCTATGTAATGTAAAGACAAAGTGAAATGCCGTGGGCAGCAATGAACTGTGGCAACAAGTTGAAAGTCTGTCATTGAGCAGGTCAAGTTTGAGATGGAATCCAGGAATCAATCAGGAGCTGAGGCCTCCAGCCATGCTGGAGAGGAACATTGAAAGACATTCAAATAGTCAGAAGTCGGGAAGCACACCTGCACATAAGCTCTGGATGAGGCCATGGTTTAAAAATCCAACATGCCATAGTTTCCCAGAAAGCACTAGTCCTTCGGGGTCCGGGTGAGTTGGGGGATCCCAGGGACCACGAGAGGAGCCAGGGCTCAGAGGGCAGCTATCAGTCCTGGAGCAGCTGGACGTCGAGGCCCAGGGAGGACATCAGTCAGGCGAGGGGAAGGAAGAATAGTCAGGGGAAGGCTCGAAACCAGCACCAAGACTCAAGGCATAAAGAATAAGGACACTTATCAAGGAGAAAGTCTCATGTAAAGTTCCTGATGCCACAGGACCTAATGATCGGGTTCCTGGGGTGTAATCAGGGTAAAACTCTGGAGAGGAAAATAGATTAATCCTACCTTGTGGAAATGTATCCCAAAAAAGGCCTAACCCAATTTTTCTATATTAATTATTGGAGTATTATAAAAAGACATAATGCCACCAAATTTTCTCTCTGAAAATGGAAGGCTGAATTTAAGCCCAACCCTACCACCTAAAGGTTGTGCTGTGCAATGTAGAAATCACAAAAGCCTCTGTGCTCCAGCACTTCCAGTGCCTCACATACTTGTTACATGGATCGCTGAGATGGGAGGAAACGCATGTATTCTTAGCATGTACTGAGTACCTACTATGGCAAAGGCATTGGGCTAATGGGAGGATGAAAAAAGACAGCAGTGTGGACATGTGAATGCAGAGGTCACCATCTGGTGTGAGAGGCTGGCATGTGACCCCACAATTATGGTAGAAGGTAATCAGAACTATGGGAGAGGGACGGACCTGCTATTTGTTGGTAAAGCCAAGATGGCGAGCAAGACTTCTCAGAGAAGTGGCACATGAGTTAGGTTCTGAAGGATTTGTAGGAGTTTTCCAGGATAGAACTCTTGGGTAAAGGTGATTGAGCTGACACACTATGTTCCAGAAATATCAAATTGCTTTAACATGACTGGGGGGTTAGGTGTGTGTGTGTATGTGTGCTGGGAAGTTGGAAGAAAGGGACGATGTTAAAGCAGCAAGAACCAGGTTACACGATTTCCTGAATTCCAAGCTAAGGAGTTTTACCTTTTAAGGGAGGAAAGTGGGAATCAGCATGTGGAGAAAATATGAGATCTATCCTATGGTGTTAAGCAGAGGAATGAAAGAGTCAGATTTGTTTTTAGGAAGATTATTCCCACTACTTAGTAAGGAAAGGATCGGAATGGGTTGAGATTAGGTTTGCTATATAAATTTAACATATTTCAATCACAGCTTTGAGCATACAAGAGTTTTTTTTTCTCACTCTAAATTGTTCTTTCCTTCTCTGGGACCTGCCCACATAGGGCTGGGATTCAAAATACTGAAATCCTTCTGTCAGTTAGGAATGGCTACTTCACCAAGATCCTGGAGTGGCTTCCCCTGTCTTTTAGATGACCACCAAGATCCAGCCACTAACAGGCTAATGCCTGTCACAGTAGCATGTCTCCAGCACCTGCTCCAGTATTGTAATAGGTGTCTATTCTGATAGTTGGTTCTGATAGGTTGATAAATACTCTTTTCATTTCACCCCTGTGTCTCCACATTCGTCAATGCACTCAAAAATGTCCCCCAATTAAATCTCTCTCTCTCTCTTGCCCCTTGCCTACCTCCTATACACATTTCTGCTTGCCTTGAGTTGAACCCATCCTTGAATTGTCCACAGTCTTGGTGGTAAGATATTAACCTAGCAATGAGAAGCCAATGCTAAGCAGAAAAACAGTGGTAGAACAGGGCAGACAGTGGTGTTGCGGTGACAAGCTGAGAACAAGCAGGCATTTAGGCAGGCAATTTCAGGGAGGCCATACAAGGGTAGGAGGGAGAGTCTGAAGGATCAAGTCCCAGGGCTCCTGTCCCCCTGGAAGATTGGCCAAAGGACCAATGTGAAAAAGTCACCCATAAGGACTTGGGTTTGGGAACAGAATATAAAGAAAGGGGATCCAGTTACAGACACTGTCATGCTCATCCTGTGAGTAGAACAAAGTGAGTATACTCTTTGAGTAGGCTCTGGAGTCGCAGTCCTGAGATTGAATCCCATCTCCACGTCTTACCTGCAGGTCTTGGAGGAAATTACTTGGACCCTCTAAGCCTGGTTTTTCATTTAAAATGGGGGCAATTATAGGACCCAACATATATGGTAATTGTGAAGATTCAAAGAAAATAATGAATGTGGGCCGCATGGGACATAGTAAGTACTCAGCTATTATTACTTAGTTCTGAACATATGTTGATCTTTCAAAGAACTAGGCAAGAATCCATGTACAAAACCTTACTGTACAATGTTAGTGAAGAACCTGCAGCAAGACTGGCCACTATTAAAGGATCAAACTGTTGACTTAGTGGTTTCTAAAAAGCCCCTTGGTTAGAAGCAGGGCTGATTCAAGAAACTGAAGTAAAGTTGATCTCAAAAGCAATTGCGTAGTTTCAGCTGGGAAAATTTTTAAAACCTCCAGGCTCACTTTCCCCAACTGATTTGAAACACAAACTGACTCTATACTAAAGTTCTGTTTGTATTTGAGTCTTAAAGAAAAAAGTCCAGGCTTATCAACAAACCTTCTACCCAAAGGGGCCACTGATGATGTGCTCCATCAATGTAAGCTAGTATTACCTCTGATATAACAAGTGAAACACTTGTAAACCACCAGAATGAATAATCTTTAGACAGCATGAAAAAAATAATCTGGGAAATAAAACAGAAATAAAAAGATTTCAAGGAGGCCCATGCAGAATCAAAATTTGTCTTGAGGTTGCCCAATAGAAGAATGGGGCATTGAAAACAAAGAGAAGATTATTTAAAATTTTTGAAATCTGAGAAGAGCCAATAGCCATGTCCCAGAGCATAAAGCTGACCCTTCTAAAGAAGCACCAGCATCCCCTGCTTGAGATAACATATGAAGGGTTAATGTAATTGGGAAATAACGAAACACTTGTTACCACATCAAAGACTGGACATAGAGGACATTTATGATTTTTAATTTGGAAGAGTGGAAATGCCATTTGTAGAACTAATGAGGCTGGTGAGGAGACACGTTGTCTTCCTGGTGGATGCATGTAAGATACATTGGAATATCCCCTAATGTTTATTAAAGCCACCAGTTGTTACCTAGTTTTACATAACTTGTGTCAATACTAATGGTGCTTTCAGAAGAATTCATAGCCTGCATATTTGAGTTAAAGTCAAAAGATTTGGTGACAAGTTAGATGTTATGATTTTGTCACATAAGGGAGTAAATGCTGTTAAAAACCCAAGGATGGGTTTTTAAAAGCCCAAAGGGTATTGCCCCAGACCCTTAAAGAAATTCAAAATATTCTTGGGGTAAAAAGGTAGGATATAAGAACTCTTTAAAAATGGGTATGTACACACACACACATAATCACTGATTTTTTAAAATAAAAACACAAATTCTTCCCAATAGACTACCTAGAAAAAATG